TGGCGGTAAGTGAGGTTGGCCCAGGATCGGACATTTTCCGTTCTGCTGTGCATGGGGTCGCTATGAGTCGGTTCCGACTCGATGGCACCTGACAACAACAACAATTTAATTCATAACTTTTTAATGTTGATTATATGTTGGGATAAATAATATTATAGATGGTTGGTTGGTTTGTTATGTGCCGTGGAGTCGGTTCCCACCCATAGCGACCCTATACAGGGTTTCCGAGGCTGTAAATCTTTACAGGAGCAGAAAGCTTCATCTTTCTCCCAGGGAATATCTGGCAGTTTCGAACTGCTGACCTTGCAGTTTGCAACCCGATTCATAATCACTATGCTACCAGAGCTCCTTAATATTATGGATATATTGGGGTAAATAAAATTATTAACCTTCACCCCACTTGTTTCCTTTTACTGTGTTAATGTGACTATGAGAAATTGTTTTAAATGATACATGTCACTCACATGATATTTTTATCGGGCAATGCTGCTTTAGGGCACATTTATTCATTTGTTCAACAAATATCTGTTGATTGCCAACTATATGCCACACCAGGAGCTAAGAATCAGAAGGGTAGCAAAAATAGGCCCTATCTTTGTTTTCCTGGTGTTTACAGTAATCAAATAATCACTTAGACAAGCATCTAATTACAGAAACAGGTAAGTGATCTAAAGAGAAGGATGGAACATGGTGTCTTCTGAACCTGATTTGGGTCCAGAGTTATATTGAGGGCTTCTCTAAGGACGCACTAGACTGGGAGGTCACTTGGAAAAGGTTTCAGATGGAGAGAAGGCATGTGCAAAGACCCTGTGGTCAGAGTGAACAGGGGAGATTGAAGAACTGAAAGGGGGAGGGAGCATTGAGGGTGGGGAGGAAGATGGCACCGATGGGAGGTGGGAGTGTTTAAGGTAGGGGGGTTGGCACATTGAGGATGGGAAATCTGTGACTCTGAGGGGGAATTAAAGAAGATGGGGCAGAGATTAGCTGAAGGAAGGCAAAGAGAGTTTCTCCACAGTGCATGGGGTTGGGGGGAGGGAGGGAAGGGTGTAGAGGGACTCTCTGGTACAACGTTTTAAGACTCTTCTACCTCCCACCCCCAGGAGACCTAGGCCAGTGTCAGTCCCCTCCCTACCTCGTGCCCATCGCAGCCCAAATGTCCTGAGGAGGTTTTAGCATCCCCTTCTTCTCTCCATCCTCATAGCCCCTCATTTACTTCAGGCCACCAAAGACTTGGGCCTCCCAGCTTCCTGGCTATCTCATGCCCTCTACCTACCTCCCCACTGCAGATGAAGCTGTTGGTGTTATTAAGTGTCATTGAGTTGGTTCTGACTCATAGCGACTCTGTCTGTATACAGTTTCTGAGGAGTGACTGGTGAGTCTGAACCATCAGCTTTCTAAAACTCCTCAAGGGTTCTCCAGTGTTCTAAAGCTATATAGTCCAGATTCCTTATTGCTTCTAATCATAAGACCTCTCCCCGTCTGGCCCCTCTAGCCTCCTCACTCATGAGGCTCCGGATCTAGCCCGTGTGTGCTATTCTCTTATCAATTCAGGGCCTTGCTCTTCCGCCCTGGCCTCTTAACTCTACTCATTCTTATCGTCTCAGCTTAGATTCTTACCCTTCTCCGACAGCCCTTCCCTTGTCCATTGGTTGGGGTCGGTCTGGGCTGGGACTCCTATGATGGCACTGCACACCATATACGACCTATCTGCTGTCTCCCCTTCAACAGCGTGAGATCCCTGAAGGCAGGAACTAGAATTCCCCTTACAAATTAGAGGCTCCCCAAAGGCAAAGACTATTTTTCCCATTAGAATGAGGGTTCCCTTAGAACAGGAAGTGTGCTTCCCCCATCTGATGAGGGGTACCCTCTAGTTTGGATCTATATCTCTCCCATTAGACAAGAGGTTCCCTCAGGCCAGAGACACTGGGGTTTTCTCAGTACCAGGATCGTTTCTCTACTTACTGTGATTCATCCTCCACTCCTTCATATCTTCATGCCTCATGCCACTTTGTGACTCTCAATCTGGGAGTGGGGGGTTGAGAGATGGAAGACAAAGAGCTCTCCCCACCCCCCACCCCATGCCTAACTCTTGGCTGAGGCCTGTCTGGCTCCTCTCCCTGGACCCTGAGGTTAGAAAGGCCTGTTTGCTGTTCTTTCTGGGAAAAAGCCAACTACCCCTGCCTTCCAGAACAACCACAAGCCAGTCCCACCAGAGGACCTGGCCAAGCAACAGCAGGGGCTGAACAGCTCTGACCACTGCCCAGCCAGCCCCCCAGAGGCACAGGCCTGGGGCTGAGAAACCTGCAGGCCTGGGGAGCCCCCAGACATGGGCCGGGCAGGGCTCAAAGCCAGGCTGGCAGGAACTGAAGTTAGGACCTACCCCAGGGAGCTGCGAGGGAGGAGCCTACCTAACTCTAGACCCGGCTGGTCAGTCTCCAGCCTCCCACCCAGCCATCTGGAGCCAGATCCTCTGTGTGTGAGCGTGTGGATCCCAGGCCATGTGGGTGGCTGGGAGCCTCTGGGGTCATGACCTAGCCCTCCTAGCAAGCCTCTGTCGCCCTGTGGTCAGTTTCACTTCTGACATATAGTCAAGTTCACAGCTGGCTTGCTTCTTGCATGGCCTTTTTCACTTTTCCTCTCCAAGACTGGGGGCAAAGGGCCCCATTCCTTGTCCTATCCCACTTAAATTAGCTCTATGTTTATACATTCAAACTTGTTGGATTTCTATGAAAACTTTACCCTTTTGTAGGGAAAAAAATAAGATAAGAACTCACTGCAATGGGTATTATACCTGAGTACCTGCCCCATCAAATCCAAACCCACAGCTGTTGGCTCAATTCCAACTCCTAGTGGATCCTTTGGGACAAGATAGAACGTGAGGCTTGCTAGGCTGTGTATGCTCTTATGGGGGCAGACTGCCAGATCATTTCTCCCAGGAAGCAGCTGGTGGGGTCAAGCCACTCTCTGGTTACCAACCCAACACTTCACCACTACGACACCAGGGCTTATACCCTGCCCCCACCCCTAAACACACTCAAACCATTTCCAGAAACACTTTGCACTGTATTTCTTTCTTTGCTATTTAATATTCATCATTTATGCTCTATGTGTAGGTTTCAGGAGGACCCAAGAATTGATTACACAGGATGCAAGGGAGACAGGACAGGGAGGTGACAAGGGGCCTGGGGCTTACAGCCCCCAGAGGGAGGTGATGGGGGGGGGTCCAAAGTGTTCCATTTCAGCCCCAAGGGAGGCAGGAAGGGCCCCAGAACCAAACACATGCTAAAACATACTTGTAGTGCTCCCTATGACCCTCTTCCATCCTCCCCAAACGTTGGGGAAGAAAATAAATAGACTCAGCTTCTGTCCCACTCCCAGGTCCACAGGTGAGGGGTCAGCAGGTGAGTTTCCTCCTCCGTCACAGGCTGAGGTAAAAGAAATGCCATCTATATACCAGGCTCCCAGTCCTTAGAAGGATTAGGCGAAGCCTGGGTGGGGAGGGGGTGGCTATCAGCACACCCAGCCCAGGGTGCTTTCATGCTAAGTAGAAGGGGAGCCACACTCATTCCAACATCAAGCAAAACAAAACAGGTTAGGGAGAGGGTGGAGATGCCACTGAGACTTCATGGCCCCCTTTCTGGCACCAAGTTAGGGAGAAAGTCCTTTGCAGGGTCCTCTAGACTTGAGAGCCCTACAGGCCACCGTCGAATTCAGTTCCTCTTGCTACATTATCACAAGGTCCCGTTCTTCAGTGCCACAAGGATGAGCCTTTCTCTTCTCGCACAGCCAACTAGTGCACACAGTGAGATGGGGTGGGGGTGGGGGCATTCCTCCACGTGCAGACCCTTGGAATCAGACCCTTGGAATCAGACGCCAGCTCCAGCCTCAGCAGTCCTTGGCCTGCCAAACCCGGGGGCGCAGGAAGGTGGAGAACAGCTCAGTTCCCTCTCATGCTTCTCTGGCAGCTGCCCCGGGCAGGATCCGGTCTCAGCCCAAGAGAAGGAACCGGCGGAGGAAAGCAAGATTTCTCATTCTGTGTGTGTGTTGCAGGATGGGAGCCTGGGAGTGTGGGGCTAGTCCTTGACCCCTGGGGCTGATTCTAGGGGAAGCTGCTGCCAGAGATGTCTTTGGGCCTGGGCCAGAGCAGACCAAACCAAGCGACTGGGACCACACTGACTCTTTCTCTGACCCAAATGCCATAGTGACATGCCAAGAACGGAGTGGCACCCCATTCCATAAACCCCAGACTTTAATAAACTTACGATGGATTAGTGAAGCAAGCCCTGGGCAAAGCACCCCGTCTCCATAGGGTCAGGACAGGTCTGAAGTGGAGGCCACTGGGCTTAGAGACATTTCCCCAAGGGTCACCTGGCCTTAGCCCCTCCTTCACAGAGGAGGGCGCTAGCCCACATTCAGCCTCTGTGTTGCTAGGTGGCTTGGGAAAAGTCACTACTTCTCTCTGGGTCTCACCGGCCTGTATGTAAAATGAGGGTGGTGGACTAGATTTCAGACCCCTCAGCTCTGAGGGGCCTCTGAGTCTCTTCCTCCCAAGTCAGAGGGGTGGGGATGAGGGGTACTCAGGAGGGTTCAGGCCCTCACTCTCCAAGTTCACAATGTAGAGTCCATGGCCCTGGCTCCGTGGCTCTCCCTCTCTGAGTCTCTAGGGCCTTGTCTTGGGCCCACCATCATTGTAGATGTGTATCAGCCCCCAGATATGAAACCAGTTAAAGTGGCGGGAGGCTGGCCCACCCAGGCATGTGGAGAGAAGGGAATAGAAGGCATGAGGTGGTGATAGGGGAGGGTGGGCATGGGAGAGGTGGCAGGGGACTTTGGTTGGAAGTAAAGGGGCCACACTAGGAGCAGCCACAGGGCTGTGGGGGCCTGGGCTCCAAGCCAGCTAGGTGGAGCTCTGGAGGCTCCTTGGCCAAGACAGGCTCCATGGGGGTTGGCTGGAGCATCAGTCATTGGAATGTGGGGGCAGGGTGGGGGCTCTAGTCAGCTCACACTGGGGACGTGGCTGTGGACTCGCTGCACAGGCTCTCCACAATGTCAGATCGCTGGATGCGGCGCAGAGCGGCCAGGAGGGCGTCGAGTGTTGCGCTATCCTGGGCCGCCCAGCTGGCGAGCAGGGCACGGACAGGGCAGGCCTCGTGGGTGAAGGAGTCTATGTGTTCCGGTTGATAACCCAGCTCCCCTGCCAGGTTCCTCCAGGTGTCGCCTGCAGAGCCATTCAGCAGCTTCTCCACCTCCTCCCGCTTGGCTGGGGGCAGGTTGCTGTAGAGGCCTCCATCACCTTTGAGAGCTGCCAAGAACCCAGAGGGGGTCAGGTCTTACCCTCAGGAGGCAGTGGTCTGGGTAAGGCACTAAAGACCCAATCTAGGGAGGGTCTAGAGACACAGGCTGGGGATGCTGACTCATTGCCCCCCTCTTCATATATAGCTCCAGACCACCCTCTCCCACCTCCCCCAACAATTAATCACGGCTGAGGAGGAGGAGGAGACAGGACTCCAGACTCAAATGCAGCAAGTGTCCTGGGTTACAGGCCACTGATTAGGGTGCATAATTAACTACCTGTTCCCCAGAAGTCCAGGGCAGGAGGCTAATTGCAGCCACTTTAGGGGCTAATTAGTCCCCAGGGGAACAATTATCTTGATGAGTCTGGATGTTTCAACTTGGTAAAAGCCTCTACTTCCCAAGTCAGCCCATCAGAAAGGACCTCCTACCCATTTGCTTCCTCTGCTTTCTCCCATCTCTCCACAATAAGTAAGGCGTTCAGGAGCCAGGCCCCTGTGACAGTCCTATGTACAGTCTAATCTTACTCACTCCTCAGCCCACCCCTGCTTCTCACCCTGGCCTGCAGCTGTCTGTGTGTGGGGCTGCTGGTCATGCAGGCTCTGGCTGTCCACAGAGATGCCGCTGTCGCTGTGGAGTTTTTCACCCTCTGGCGGGGGCGTCTGGTTCACCGGCCGGCTGTTAGCTCCTTGCTTGTTCTGCTTGCAGCTGTTCCACCTGGAGCCAGAAGGCAGGCTGGTCTCAGGGGCCAGAGTCTCACTGGCCAATGCCACTAAGCTCTCTTCTCTGATGGGTGGGACCAGGGGCATGGTAGGTGCCAATTATGATCCCAGTCATATTATTAGGGCCTTCAAAAAGTTTGTGGAAAGATGGAATGAAAAGATAATGGACCTGTGGCCCTTAGTCACCCTGCAGGTTTGGAACTGAACTCACCCTGTGTCAATTTTCAGCCAAACAATGTGAACAAGGGGACCAGTAACACTAGGGAGGTAGAACACCTTAGAGATCAGCAGGGCAGCGTTTACCCAAGGACAAAGTTCAGAAGGGTTAGGAAAGAAGGAGAAACCAGAAACACAGGAAGGAAGTGGGATGAGGTATGTTACATGGAGGGGATTGTAATCAGTGAAATGAAACAAAATGTGTATGAATAGTTGAATGTAAAACTGATGATCTGCTCTGTAGACTTTCACCCAATTCACAATAAAAAGTTAAAAAAAAAAAAAAAGAAGAGACAAAAGAAACAAGGAAGTACCCAACCCAGAGTCTCTTGGGGAGCTTGGTTCTATGGTTCTGCTGACACTTTGATTTCAAAATTCTATTCTCAAAACCCGAGAGAGAATACATTTGTTGTTTTAAATCATAAAAAAATATAATAAGGATGGAATTTTTCCATGAACTTTTTGAAGCCCCCAAACCTACAATTCTTTACATATCAGCTCTGGGAAGGCAGAAGGGCACTCAGGCCTTGGTGCACATCAAGAACGGTCAATAAATGTTTATGGAATAAATGGGGCATAAATAAATCGCTTCCCAGGAATTCCACTTTTCACAATCTACCCTTCTAAAATGCTTCCACATGTGTGCAGGGATATAGACAAGGCTTTCCGCTGCTCTTATAAGCAATGACAAAATGCTGGAAACAAACCAAATGTCTATCAATCGGGGACTGGTTAAACAAATTATGATCCATCCATATTACTGAACGTGTGGCTACAAATAATCAGATAATCTATATGTCCAGAGGAAAGCTCTCCCAAGGGAGCTTAAGTGGAAAGTAAATTGTATAATACATATAGAATGATTCCATTGATTAAAAAAAAAAAAAAGCAACCTTGTGTTTATGTATAAACAAGAAAGTATTTTGTATGTGTGTGTGGTTATAAATGCCCAGAAAATAGTTGGGAAGGATCCATTCCAATCACATTTCAATGAAAAGAGGAGCAGGATTTGGGGAGATAAGAAGGCCTTTTACTTTTTGCTAATGTTGGTCTTGTTTGCATTTCTCCCTATAAGCATGCATTACTTTAATGATTGTTGAAAAAATGAACACTGCATTTAAAATTTTTAAATGTCCTCCAGGTGTTCTTGCACATCCTGGATTCTTGGAGTGGAGACCTAGAGTCCCAGGTGCTATGGGAAGGAGAAGGCACATGCACATATAGGCAACTGTGTGGGTGAATGGAGTCCAGAGGGATGAGGCACAGGCATCTCTCTCTGCATGCAGCTGGGGAGGTCCTAGAGTGCTAGAGCCAGGATAGGATCCTTCCCTTCCCTCACCTGCCACAGTCCATCATGCCTTAGAAAAGAGCAGCTGGTAGCTAGTGAGGATGAGCTTGCTTTGGGGTTGAGTTGAAAAGGAATGTGTGTTTCCAGGTCAAGAATGGAGTAAAGTCCTCCTTGAAGCCAAAGGTCCCCATTCTCTGTCTCCCATGCCCCCTCTCACCTCTTAAAGGCGATGTAGGCCACGAGACCCACAACCACAGCGGCCAGGATGGAGCAATAGACAGGGATGAGGTTGTCGGTGGTGCCCCTGGTCACTACGGGCTGTGAGCTGCCCATCACTGTGGTTACCACATCTGCCAAAGTGCTGGCCACAGGGTCTAGTTCTGGAGGGCCCTCAGGCTCCTGGGTGCTAGGTTCTGGGCTCTCCAAACCCTCTGGGGGTGTGGCCCGTGTAATCCAACGGCCAGGGATCTCTAGAAGGAAAAAGAGTTAGGGGAGTGAGGTCTTACTCCACCCTACAACCCCTCTCCCTAGATTCTCACTCACTCCAGTGCTGCGTGCTGAGCCCCGACCCCTGGCTCCACGTGCTTGTGTGTTGCGTAGCTGTTTTGTGACAGGTTGGGGATTGTATAGTAAACCAAGATGAAGATGAGTAAGGGCCAGCTAGTCAGGGGACCTGGATCTACTTCAGCTCTGTCACTGACTTCTCCCCTCAGAGCCTCAATTTCCCCATTTATAGAATGAGACTGTTAAGAGATAATCTTCACACTCCTTCCATGTTGGGTATAGCTGTCATCCTAGAACTCTATTTTGCCTCCCATGGGTATCCAGAACCCTGGCATGGAGGGAAACACACAGAGAAGACAGAAACATCAAGTTGGTTTCACTCTGGGAAATACTGAAATCTCTCTGGCCCTAGGTAGGCCCATAAGACTCCAGCCACCTTCTCCTAAAGAAGGATGGGAGGACTCAAGTCAGAGGTACCTGACCCCACCCCACTTCTTCTGAGATCTGGCAGCTAGTCCTTTTTCCCCATCTCTGATACTCCAGGCTCCAGGCTTGGGCAGGATGTGGTGGGAAGGAATGCTCAGCGGACTAGCTTCCTTTCAGCCAGTTCCTTCTCCCCCCCACACCTCCCCCTCAGGCCAGTTCTTGGACAGGGGTCAGCCTCTTGGTCTGCACGGGCCCACTAGTCTGCTTACTGCCTGGAGAAGGTCACGTTGAGCAGCTGGAACCCTCCTGGGCAGGGAGCAGAGTGCAGATGGAGAGAGGGTCTGCAAAGTAGGTACTGCCTGCTGCCTCAGGGAGAGTGAGACTTTGTGGCCACCCACCTAGGTCCTCTTATGCCAGCTGGGCATTGCCAGCCTACCTGGCAAGGGACCCAGCCCTTCCTGGCACTAGTGGGTGGGATTTTCCATTCTGCCACTCAGCGGAGGGCAGTGCCAGGGGTTGTGGGCCCCCGACAACCTTAGGGTACCTGTCTGGGCAAAGCTGCCCACCCCTTCCATCCTCACTTCCCACGCCTGGGGCAGGGAGGGGAAGCATGCCATCAGGGTAAGGAGGATGGGCACTGAGCTCTCCAGCTCTGTTATGCCCAGCCCCCCAATTGCCCACCCAAGTTGGAGTTGAGGCTGCCCACCTCTCTGCTGGGCCTCCTCAGCTCAGAATGAGGAGGCTTCAAAGGCCCCCTTTTCAGCACCTTCTGAGGGATAAGGCCCCCAGATGTGAATCTGGAATCCATTTGGCTGGCAGTGGGGAGGGGGCTACTATCTCCTTCCCCATCCCATCCGGCCTCCACTCAGTCCTAGGAGGAGGTGGAAGGACAAACACAGCTCTGCTCTCTGGCAGTTCCAGAAAAGACTGGAATGTGGACGGACTTCTCTACTGGGATACTAAGCCTGAAACCAAATACCAGCCCCAAGTCCAAGGTGAAGGTGCATGTGTGTGGGGAGGTGTCTGTGAGTCCAGCCATGACGGAGGCTACCTAGCATGAGACCGTGCTGAGAAAGGATGGTAAGGAACCCGGAGGCTGAAGACAGTGCTGTCCAAGGCGCACTCCTCATCACTCCAATCCCCTCTGATGGGGGTGGGGGACAAGGGATGAGATCCAGATGTGGCCATGTCCACCAGCATTCCAACCCGCTAAGCCCTTGGCTGGTCCTGACAGCAGTTTCCGGAATGGGCGATGTCAGACTTGGGGGTAGAAGGAGGGGTCCAGGTTACCCTTCCTTAGCCCACATTTCACTGGGCCAAGGGGTGGCCCTTCTACCCTGAGGGTGGGGGAACCACTGTGTTGACACCAGAAATGTATATGCAGAGGGGAAAAAAAGTGCACTGGGGGTGGGGTGAGGGGAGCAACCAAACCAAGAATCAAATTCCATTTCCTGAAATGGTCCCTCTGCCCAAGAGCTGACATTTAACTCTTTAGAGGTTAGACCTGAAAGGGGAACAGGGACATGGGTAAACATATCCATCAGAGGTCTCCTCTCCCCCTAGGGTAGCTGGAAGAGTGTGGTGGTATCTGGAAGGGATCTGTAAACGCCCCAAAAGGTGGAGCCTCCCCTTCCCCCAGTTCTAACCGTTCTTTGCCCTAATCATGTCCCTGACTAAGTTCCCCCACTGGTTGGTCCAGACTTGTCCATGGAACCGTGCTGCCTAGCTGCTGAAACGCCTTCCCCTGCTCTGCCTGGCACCTGATGCTGCTTGCCTGTCTCCTGGCCCAAGGCCTTCACCACTGGAACCCCCCCCCCCCACACACACACACACACCTTGTCCCAATGCAGGAAGTTTCATACACAAGCTTGGCCTCAGCCCAGCTTAACAGCCGCTCCACCCTGAACTCCTGAGCTGAGGATCATAGAGCTGGAATTCACAGGATGTGAGAAAGAAACAAGGGTGTGTTTCTTGCCTGTCAGACTCGAGGCTTCCAGTGGGCAGGGGATGCATCTCCCCCATCTGACTTGGGGTGCTGCCTCTATCAGAATAAGGGAGCCTCAGAGTTGGAGCTGGGGTTGCAGCTATTCAAGGCAAGAGGCTATCTCTCCAGTCAGACTGATGGCTCCCTGAAGGAGATGCTATAGACTGAGGGTTCTCAAATGGAAATAGCCAAATGAGTGGTGGGCAAAGGCTGAGGGAAAGAAAATAACACACTGTCAAATTCTCCCTGCAGAGGGAAGGCCCACTCACCTTCCCAATCCCTTGAGTTGATTCCTATGTAGGGTTTCTGAGGCTATAAATCTTTAGGGAGCAGAAAGCCTCATTTTTCTCCCAAAGAGTGGCTGATGGGTTTGAACCTCTAACCTTATCCTACAGCAGCACCAGGGTTTCTTTTCCCTGAGACAGATATCAAAGACCCAAACAGTTCTGCCCAAGCACAATCCCATGGTGCTTCTTTCCCCATCCAGAAACCACCTCATTCCAGCATACCCAGCCTCAAAAGGCAAGGAAAGGAGGATTTGCTCAGAATGTGGAAAGAGTAGAGACTAGGACCCGAGAGTCCTCTGTGTGTGCGCTGCCCTGTTCTCTGGCCTCCCAGGGCCAGGCCTGAGTTTCCCTTCTTTTTCTGTCCCCAAAGCTCCTCTTCCTAGAAACCTCCTTAATGGTCCTGTGTCCAACCTCAGCCTACACTAGTAACAATGGCTGTCTACTTCTCTCTCAGATGTCAAACACTGAAGTGGAACAATCATGGGGTGGGCAAGGAAACTGAGGATGAGAGACAAGAGAGACCTAACGTCACTTTTCTAGATTCTATCTCAGGTCCCATAAGTTACCATGCACCAAGACCAGGCCTCAAAGCCCAAAGGCTGCATCTCCTGAGGGTCCTCAAGCACTTTTTTCCAGTTCAGAGAGCCTGTTTTAAGGACCAACCATGTCCTGCTCTGGTCAGAAATATCACAGGCCACAGTGGCCACTTTGGAGACGTTAATTGCCTGCCCATCCAATTGCTAACTGGCTGCCAGATGTGAATAAAGTTCTGAAAGATGAATTACAATGTAGTAATTAATAAATGCAGATGGTGCCGGCCCCGGCAGTGTTCTGTTCTGTTCCGTTCGGAGTCACTATGAGTAGAAACAGAGTAAAGACTATGGCCCAAGAGTCCTCTGCATGTGCCCTGCCCTGTTCTCTGGCCTCCCAGGGCCAAGCCTGAGCTTCGAGGGCACCTGACATCAACAACTTCTGCAGCCTGGGAGGCTAATGGACTTCGAAACACTGAACCCAAAGAAGAAAATATGAAAGGGAGCCTTTGGCGATGAACTATCCCTTCCCTGAGATGCCCCAGAAAGGGCTTTCTTGTCGTCCAGGGGGCGCCCTTGGTCACGGCTCCAGACCACGCCTACCCCACATCCGCCCGCCCACCGGGTTGCGCGCGCACCCTCACACACCCTCACACTCGGCGTCGGCCCAGCGGGTGCACTCTCGCAGCTGGCGCTCAGTGTCCTCACACACGGTGCAGGGCAGGCATGGGTCCACGTGGTTGGCCTCGTCAGAGTATGTGCCATCCGGGCACTCCTCGCACACGGTGTTCTGCTTGTCCTGGCATGAGTACACAAGGCCCGAGCCTGCCTCGCACACCTGGCAGGCCTCACAGTGGCCGGTGGCCTCGTCCTGGTAGTAGCCATAGGCGCAGCGGCAGACAGCGTCGTCAGCCTCCACGCACGGTGCAGACATGCTCTGTAGGCCCACGCACTCGGTGCACGGCTTGCATGCCTCAGTGGCACTCACCACGTCGGAGAAGGTCACGCCTGGGGACAGAGGGACAGGTGAGGAAGCAGAGAGCCAACAATTTCGCCAACTTCCCATTGCCTGGAGTTGCCCTTGTTCTTTTACCTCCTGTACTAGTTTCACCCCGTTATTACCTCCCACCCTCTTTCCTAGGGTCCCTGATTCCCGTGGCAGCTGCCTGGGGAGAGGGGGAGGGGGAAAGGAGGGGAGTCCCAGACCTGAGGTTCCACAGAGTAGCTCAGCTGGTGTCTGCGAAATTTCCAGCAAATTCCCTTAGCGAGTTCCCAGCCCTGTACTCTTGTTCCCAGCATGATTAAGGAATAATCTGAGCTTGGTTCCCACCCAACCCTCCCCTGGGGCCAGTGTTGGGCTCCGAACCTAGCCCAGGCATTGCTGGCCTTCTGCTAGGGAGCCTCCCACTCAGCTGCCCTTCTGTTCCTGCTGCACAGGTGGGGTCTCAGGCGTGGCCTGAATAGGTCTAGGGTTAGGTGGCAGAACTTCCCACCCATATAGCGCTATCCCCAAGCTGCTAAAGGGCTTGCCTCTTGAGGGTGGAGATTGAAGTTCAAGTATAGCAGGAGGGACTGAAGCTAGAGAGTTAAGAAAGACTTGCATATACTGTCCTCTACCCTTTCAACTGGCACAAAGGGGAGATTTCCAAGCTCACTCTTGACTCATGCTATCTTAATTAGTACAAGTGAAGGAGGGTGCCATGGTCCCCGCCTCCTGGTGCAGGGAGGTAGGGGAGGCACAGAGCTAAATCGTCACCCTTTCCAGCCCAGGGTGGAGAACTCCATATTTGCCAATGTGAACCCAAGAGAACACATCCTTACTCCAACGGTTGGACTTGGAGCACGGATTTAGGAACCTGAGAACCAGAGAAAGAGGGACTGCTCAGAATGGGGAAACAAAAGTAGAGACTAGGGTCCCATTGGAGGGAAGTGAAGCCTGCTTTGGAGTCCAACTCAATATTCTTTAAAGCATCAAAAGACCAGATAGAGCACTGAGTCATTATCTTGTGTTGGGCAAGCAAAAAGGAAAAGCTAGAAAGAGGGGAAAGGGGGAAAGGCAGAAAAATAGGAGAAGAGAAAATAGCGGGAATAAGGCCTGAAGGGAGACTTCCCATTCCTGAATCAGTTCCCTAGAGGGATCCCTGTGTTTCTCTTCCCAATAAGCAGGCATATCTGGATTCAGATCTTGTTTCATCACTTAGCTGTGTGACTTTGAGCGTTTTACTTAACCTCTCTGAATCTCATTTTCTTTATCTGTAAAATAGGGCATAATTTCTCCATGCACAGGGTTGTGGTGAGGACACAGCAGGGATTCTACAAAAGTTGAGTCCCATCCATGGTCTGGGCATGATCTAGGCAGACAGCAGAGAGGACTTGCAGACATGAACGCAGAGGCAAGGTGCCCAGTCTACACAAATGAGAGTGTTCTATATCTGCCTGCCATGGTGTGGTCAGGGGATGGGACTGGTCACACTTGGAGAGGAAGAGGGAGCCCTGCCCATGGGAAAATCCAGAAAATTAGCAGAAAACTCTAGAGAAAGGATTTTAGGGGGTGTGAAAAATGTGGTCTTTTTTTCTTTTTGGCAGAGAATGAAGGCAGGAGTTTAAATGGATTTCCTTGTGGAAACGTTATGAGGATGGAAGGAAGTCTGCTGGGGTCTCTATTCCATAAAGTGGTCTCATAAAGGTGGCCTGTTAACACAGCTAGGGGGTGGAAGAAAGAGTCCTGCATGGGCCTCTGAGCTGCTGCGGCTCCTGCCTCCTCTCCTCTAACCCAGAGATGCCAGGAGTCCCCCATCCCAGGCTGCTCCACCTTCCACCTCAGACCCTTCCACAGATTCAAGTTGCAAGGAGGAGAGGTGGTAAACTGGAGTCTATGAAACAACAAAGGCTAATTACAGAGGCTCCAGGGTACCCATGGTTGGCCAACCCAGGGTTAGGGCAGATGGCTGAATGGCCAGGTGCAGAGCCTCCCTGCCCAGACAGACCCAGGTCTCCCTCCGCTGGGGGAGGAGACAGATGGGGTTACAGGAGTCACCAGCACAGGGGGATGTCACTGTGTTTGAGGGTCACCAAGGGGTTAGGATTGCCTGAAGTGCAGGGTGAGTTTGGGGACACACTGAGGTCAGTGTTGGCAGACAGGTGAGTTTCCAGCCTTGGACCCTTGTCTCCTTGTAGCTACGTGATTAAAGAATATCTGAGCATAGTTCCCACCTAGCCTCCAAGTGGGCGCTCAATGCCAGGTAGAAGGCAGATCCTGTTAGCCTTCCACCTGGAAGGGCCCACGGGGATGCTCCTGACTAAAAACTGTACAGATTTAGAGCCCAGACAAGGTTGAGGCCAGGGCATCAGACCTGCCCTCTCTGTGCCCCCTCCATTCACCTGGAAGATGGTGGGCTTCTCTCCTCTTCCAAGGGAAATCAGGCAAGAATGGCCCAGGCTCTCCCTCTCCTCCCATCTGATATCACCCCAGCACCCTTATAGTGTTCCAACCCCCATCTCTGCTGCCTCTGAGAAGCCTTTGCTTCCTTGGCCCAGGCTGGAAAACAGTTGGCCTGGGGGGAGGTGCAACCCCACCCTCCCCAGGATCCCCCAAGGTCAATTTCCAGGGCAGCCCAGGATTTGATCCGCTTCCTCCTCCCCACAAACACACAGAGGGTAAGTGGCAGCCATTGATTTTGCAATGCAGATGATATTTTTAGCTGGTCTTAGCATTGGCTACTCCTTCCCACCAGGCCACACTCTTCCTTCAAGCCTCTCTGCTCAGGGGCTGGGGATCCCCTAGCAAAGCCCCCTCCTCCCTCTGCATACTTTCTTCATCCATTCTCAACATCTCTCTGCCTCTTACACTGGGCCAGAGCCCACTCTTGGTACCCTGCTAGAAGAACTTGGCCATGTTTCTCCCCCGTGTCACATTCCTGCCTGACCCGACCCCCGCCTGGCTTCCCTGTACTCACTGTCCAGGCAGGGCTCACACACAGTCTGGTTGACTCCGCAGGGCTGGGCTACGCCCTCGCCCAGATTGCAGGCTTTGCAGCACTCGCCGCTGTAGGTGTACAAGTCCGTGGGACATGCCTCGTTGGCACCACTGAGGGACACCTGGGGTAGGGGGAGATCAAAGGGTCAGACCATCTAGGAAGAGGAGGGAGTGTCATCCAAGGGATCAAACACCCCCTTTTGATGCCTTCTATTAGAACCACCTGGGCTGAGATGAGTTCACCAGGCAGTACTAGACACATCAAAGCTGGTGGGAAGGAAAACAGTGGAAGGACAGAGAGCCCTGCAAGCTGCTGGGGGTTTAAGATTGGAGCCCTGCATGCTGACCTTCAATGAAGTTCACTTGGGCTACGTTAACTCCTAAAATTCCAAGGATATACCACATGGGGAAGGGGACGTAAGACAGGGATGTCATGAACAGTTGGGCAGCTTGCAGCTTGCACAGGGCTCCCAGCCAAACGGGTGACTAGGAGCTGAATTTCAGCCCATACTCCACTGGCTAAGCTGCGTACCTGCAGGGCCACATCCACCCAGAGGGGGGTGCCTTTTTCTAACTCATACAAAGGCTGCCATGCTCTACTCTATTCTAGGTCCCTAACTCCATTAGGTTGAATATCAAATGGGAGGTGTCTGAAGAGCAGAAGGCAGATGGTGAAGACTTGGGTTTGAATCTTGATTCTGCTCTGGGCTTTTGGTCTGCCCTGCCCCCACTCTGAGTCTCCATCTCCCCACACATGATGGCGACAGCTTGGTGCCAGGGCTGAGGACCAGCCAATGGGCGAGAGTCTGGCGCCAAGAGAGGGAGAAAGGGATGTCTGTTATCAATGATGAGGAAGTGGCTGCTCTCACCACTCAGCAGCCCTGCTCCACCAGGATTTGATTTCCAGCCACCCGCCCTCCTCTCATACCCTGCCCGTCCCACAACCACTGGGAACAGCGCTAGAACCAGGGCAAAGAGGACTCAAATTCCTGCCACTAAAGCATCTTTGCTCAGGGACAGTACGATTTAGTACCAGGTTCCCTAAGAGGAAGGGCTTCTGGAGACATGCTTTATATTTCTGTGGTTTTTTTTTTTAAAACTTACTGTCTAATAAAACTCCAAAGCCTGCTTTTCTCAACTCATACCAGACCATGCAGCCCCCATTTGATGCAGAGTATGGGCTCTTGGGTGATGGAGCCAGAGGGGAGGTTTACAAGGTCATTGGGGTTTGCTTCTGCTTTCACGATGGTCAAGAGACTGTCTTCCCTTCAGTCCTTTAAAATGTCCTAATGCCTCAGCACCAGAGTTTGGTGGGGAGGGAAGAGAAGAAGCAGGGGGATGGACAAGTTGGCTCAGGCATGGAGGCAGCTTTGGGGTCCTCATAAGACAGTGGGAAGGGTCTAGGTAGCTCAGGAAAAGGAAAGGTGGGTATTGCCACCATCTTCTCCCAGGTGGTAACAGGACATAGTGCTGGGAACATCTGCAGACCAGGAGCCTCCTGGACCCCAGATTCAGGCTCTCCCGCAGGAGGCAAAATTCCAGAGGAGCTTGTTCTAATTTTTTTTCATCCTTTAGGGCTCTGCTTAAGTGTCACTTCCTTGGGAAAATGGTCCTATCCCCCCACCCCACTCCCCTCCTCCCTTTCCAAATTAGGCAGCCCTGCCCTGTTACCCCAGGTGGTGTAAATGGTTAACAGGCTTGACTATTAACCCAAAGGCTGGAGATTTGAGTCCATCTAGTAGCACCACAGAAGAAAGTCCTGGCAATCTACTTCCAAAACCTCAGCCATTGAAAACCCCGTGGGTCACGGTTCTACTCTGACACACACGGGGTTGCCATGAGTCGAAACTGACTTTATGGCAACAAGTAAGTGGTTCAATTACAAGCTTGCCTTTCACTACTTTGTCCAATTTGCTACTTCAATGATTCCCCTGCTAGACTGTCAGCTCCCTGAGGGTAAGGGCCATGGTTGCCTGAGCGCTTGGCACATAGTAGGGACAGAACATATATAATTATGGAATTTAAGAACACAATAATACCACATGACCTCAGCTAACAAGAAGTCTGGATCACTGAGTTTCCCTGAGAGTCAAGGGTTTGCTCCTCTAATCCTCTAATGTTTTTCATTTTAACTATGTTTGCCCTTCTCTGCCTCCAGAATATACCTTTACATTTCCCTGTGACTCAGGGACTCACTGTTTATTCTGGGCTGCAATGCAGTGCAACGCTTGTGTTCTCTATCCTAAACAACCACACTTTTGTCTGTTTGAGTTCTCCTGTCAGCTTTTTTATATAGTATTTGTCTCCTCCCTTCCTGCCAGGGTTTCAATTGTCTATTCTTGCTGCTACTGGAGTGTGGCCTGAAGCAGCCTCTCCTCCCCTAC